GTAAGACCCGGAGGGTCTGGAGCTCCACAAGAAGAGCAACAGAACCAAAAATTCTGGTCCCAGGGGTCTTTTCCAAGACTGATACACCAATCAAGGACCATGAATGGAGATAACCTAGAACCCCTGCTCAGATGTAGCCCTTGGCAGCTCAGTATCCAAGTGGGTACCCTAGTAAGGGGAACGGGGAATGTCTCTCACATGAACTCAGTGGCTGGTCATCTCCCCCTGATCATCTCCCCCTGAGCAGGGAACAGCCTTTCCAGGCCACAGAGGAGGACAATGCAGCCAGTCCTGATGAGACCTGATAAGCTGGGGTCAGATGGAAGGGGAGGAGGACCTCCCCTATCAGTGGACTTGGAGAGGGGCACGGGAAGGAGATGAGGTAGGGAGGGTGGGATTGGGAGAGAATGAATGAGCAGTCTACAGCTGGGATACAAAGTGAATAAACTGTAATTAATATAAAAAATAAATATTTAAAAGAGTACATTCTAGAAAGCTTATATATTCAAGGAACATAAATACATTCCACATACCAAGGAGCCAATAACCACTTGCATCACAGCCACCCATTTCATGATTATAAGTTTATAATCTTTTTTTGAAGCAAAAATTTAGAATTCTTGACTTAGTAAGATAACAAATCTATAGGCAGAAAGTAAGATTTTTAGATTGCTTACAGATTTAAGGCCTGTTGTGGAAAATAAAAAAATGGTGTGAGGCTAAATATGTTTGTTATTTACTGTATGATTATTACGGTAGTATTATTTAACCAGTTATCACAATCAGTAAGACACAGGCACCTGTTAGATTTTATAATTCCCTACTTACCTTGGGCTGGGCAGGTGTACCACCTACACCATCTTAGTAACCTCCCCATCTACCTCCCATCCCCAACCCAATGCCATCCACCTTAACCATTCCTAATTGGGCTGCTTCTTGTCCATAATTCCGTAAATACTTGCTTATCCTTCATCAGAATCACTTCTTTTCATGCCACTGTTGGAGTCCTGTCTGCCCATGTGGTTCCTTTTCTCTACCCCATCATGGGTTTCTCTTTCTCCCTTTCTGTTTCTCCTCCCCTCCTGTGGTTCTCCTGTTTCCCAAAGCCCAGGATCCTTGGCCACTCCCACCTTCTTCCATCCTGCCCAGGTACAGGCCTTTTTTATTAACCAACCAGGAATACTGTCTTAGGCAGGTTTATACAAGGATAGTAACCAGATCCGAAGGCTAGTAATTAGCATCAAAGTACAAGCATCAGAGCAGCCCCCACAGAAGCTCAGTGCTAGTGACACACATAGACTTATCTTCTGTTGTCAATGTGTATTTCATATTTCAAAACCCAAAATGCTTACTTGCACAAGCCAAACAGATTATTATTTAAAGAAGCATGTTTTTAAGTCTGCATTTTTCACATATTGGTGAAATTCTGACATGTACCCTATCCATTTCCAGACATATAAGATACTAAATGTAACATAATAGAATTGCTTTTAGATGGTAGTTTGTAAAGCAATCGCTTTGAAGGCTTTAACTGTAACAGACACTTACGAGAACCTTGGGTTTGTTAACATGGTTTTTAGTATTCAAGAAACTTTAAGGTCAGCAGAAAGCACAGTGATCTCAATGAAATGCAGCTTTGTCCTCCTCGCCAGTTCTTTCTTGTAAATGTTACTACGAACAGAACAATAGTGGTTTATTTTAAGTCTTGTTGCTTTAGATACAGAGAATTCGGTTCTGTTTTTACAACAGTGCATTAACTTTTGACCTTAGAAAATCGTTTAGATAAATTTATGTTTTGAAACACCTTTTCCAAAAGCTTTTTGAAGTTAGGTAATTGGATTTTTTAAGTACTAGGAATTAAACTGAGGGCCTTGCAACTCTACTACCTCTGCAGCCCCAAAGTTACTTTTTAATAGGATAAAATACCTAGGCCTTTTAATAGATTTCCCTCTAAGGCTTAAAGTCTTTTGTATTTCCTGGATATAGAATTCTATATATTAATTAAAATTGTAACTCTAAATAATCTGACTCTCAGTAAAGATTCAAGAATCCTCATCTAGATGAAAGCAATTTTCATCCATTTCTCTGAACATTGGCAATTTATAGAACACATTTGTTAATAGTTTAAATGCACTGCAAATGAGAGATGGATTCAATTGAGTTTATGACAGAATGATACAAATTAAGATCACCTGCCTACATAACCAATCTGTAAATGCCTCTTTTAAGCCTTATCTAAGCAAGCATCATCAGCTTGGTATTGAAATGAACTTTCCCTCTCCTTCTCCCTCCAGTTCCAACCTCTACATTTAACTCTGCATGTCAGCTAGGCCTTGCTAAAAAAAAAAAAAAAAAAAAAACCCTTAAAAAACTTTCTTTCTTTCTTTCTTCCTTCCTTCCTTCCTTCCTTCCTTCTTTCCTTTCCTTTCCTTTCCTACAAAATGGCAGCAAAGTAGAGAAATGAATATGGGGAAAAAGATGACACACAGACAAGGCAACGGCTCCTATATATTTATGTAGTCCAGAAATCACCACAAAAGCACGCTGGTTTACACATTTCAAATTAGACATTCCAAGAACAGCAATTTTAATGTGTGGCCTTTTTTTTGTTTGGTTTGGTTTGGTTTGGTTTGGTGCAGAAGTTGCCACAGGCTTGCCACTCATATTCAGGAAACCAAAGTCGGGTAAAGTTTTGCCCCTGCTTTCTTAATCATCTTTTGACTTGACTGGAAGCTCACCTTGGTAGTCAAAGCAAGTACAGATATTCACCAAAAGTTTTGGGCCAGTTTGAAGGGATGTTTAATAGTGATTCATTCTGACAGTGTCACAGTGGGCCAGCTATCCCTTCTGACGTGTCTCAGAAAGCCCCAACACCAAGGAGTTCAAAGTGAACAGCTCTTGGTTGAATGTTGGGGTCCTTCCAAGCAAATAAAGGGCTTTGTGGTTCCCTATAAGACCTTAGCACAGCATGTGGCCTGACACCCCATTAAGAGTGGGCCAGAATCAAGCGTTTGTCTTTTCTATTCAATAAATTTCTAAATAGACTGTTGCAGTAGCCATCCAATTTTCAATGTCCATCAAACTGTACATCATAGACTAACATAGAGTAAAGATGATAAGGCAGACAAAAACAGTTTACATGATTCATAGTGGTATCTTAGATAAACCACCAAAGTTACAAAAGACAAGTGAGAATACTCCCTAAGAGTTCCAAGAAAGCACAAACTTCATATCCCATGGTTGTACAAACTCCAGTAAGATATCTCAAGCACAGCTACTTTTCTGTGTACCTTGCATCCATTCCCTACTAGTTGCCGACACACAATTACAGAACACAGCCATCTCTGTCATACTGGCAAATCTCCAAATTGTTTAAAAACTCCATAGTGGCTTAGAAGACAAGGAACCTCAGAATTCAGACAAGTCCAGAAAGAACCCAGACGGCTCAACAGACTCTCCAAGCTGAGAGGGAGAAGAAAGAGCAGGGCTCAGGTACACTGATTGGAAGAGCTTAAAGGTCAGTACTCAGGGCTGGAAGTACTCAGTACTCTTTCCTCCACCTCACCAAATCCAAATAGAAAGCAGAAGAACATAGCCAACATGGAGAGATAAGAAAGGTACCGGGAATAAAACCTATTTCAGCAGCCCTGTAGACCCACCAATCTTCAGCCCCTTCATCCAGGCATGGCTTGCTTGAGTGGCTGATGCCAAGAGGCTTCTTTGGTCCTGGTTCAGCTTGACAAATTGTAAGCATAGAGTTTAGGATACAAGCGTTGGCCCTGGCAGCTCCTAAAAGCTTGGCTTGGCCACACAGCCCCATAATGCCAATTAAGGAGAGGAAGAATGCTGAAAAGCAGGGTGAGATTTAGTCAGTGAGACCACACCAGAAAGAGGACTAGATAGAGGTCTGGTGTCATGTCCGCCCCTGACCCCCAATCCTGTCTATCTTTTTAAAGGGACTTTAAAACTGACTTGGGGATTGTAAACAAACAAACAAAAAAAGTTACTATGGGAGTTTTCAAGTGCTGGTTGTTTATACTGTGTGAAAATCAGTAATGTAAGATAATGAGAGCCCAAATGAATGGGAATAACTGACTTAGAGGAAATCACTTCCTTCTGGGTGGGTGTACTAAAGCTGAAAGAGATGGGAATGGTTTTCTTGGTTAGTATTAGATGCATATTAAAACCACATTGTTGTTGCACATGAAAATAATACCTACCACTTGTTTCATGTAGTCCATGATTTTTATGTAGAAGAGAACTTAGTAAACCCTTACACTATCCTTAATAGATATCACTAGTTCTTTCATTTTAAACATAGAAAAATTGAGAGACCCAACTTAAGACTTTGGGACAACATAGTATATTTAAATAGAACACACAAATTAAAAAAAAAAACAAAAAAAAAAAAAACATACTTTTTGAACATTGTGTTAATACTGCCTCCTATTGGAAGGATGGTGTCCACAGTGACTCCTCCTACTTGGGAACAAGACTCCCCTTCACAAACGCCTCCGCACTCACCACTCCTTAGTCCCGAGCCCCCAAATGCTTTTCAAATTTAATTTAAGGCTAAATTAGAGGATTTGTATGAGCTGATAATGATCTGCTAGTAATTATTTTCGTAATATAGCCAAATACTTTATAGCTGTGTGTCTAATAAGATTTTCATTACGTGATGTAGCCTCGTTTCTGGAGTTATTGTGCCATGTTAACTGGAGGCCTAATGCCACATGATGTCAGAATATTTAACCTGCTTCAGTGAGCTACAGTGATTTTGCTCTTTTAGAGGTACTGCCTCGGACTGATTCTTATTTTCACAATAAAGCTGCTGATAAAGCAAAGGACATGTTCAAACTTAAGAATTATTCTCTGAAAAAAATTAACAATATCATAAAGATGGTCAATTATAATATATCAAATTACAGTTATGATGTTAAAGATCTCTTGACATAAGCCATTGTTTTCTGAATTTTTTGTGTTTCTTTTCTACAAATTAGTTCACAGCGGCGGTGTGAACTGTCTGTCATTCCATCCTTTGGGTAACAGCCTCGTCACTGCCTCTTCTGATGGAACACTTAAGATTCTGGATCTCCTAGAGGGAAGACTCATATATACACTTCAAGGACATACGGTATCAGTACTAAGATTTCTGTTTCCCAAATGAGGTACACTTTAAGTTCTGGTCCTCTTTACTATATGCCTTTATTATTTCTTTTAGTAGTAATGTACATTTGCTGCTACTCCTATAATTTGATTATTTTTACTTCTAAGTTTTTAATCTCTGAAGCAATTCTTAAAAATAATATTTATTGTTGCTCTTGAAAACCAATTCATTCATTCATTAAGTAATTACTACTAGCGTGGGAATATCTTTATGACAAGCTGGAGACCTAAGTCAGGGTAGGCTCCTGGGAAGATATGAGAGGATTCAAGCAGAGACTCCTAGTAGCAGAAACCATAGAGACTGAAGAGGACAACATCTAACTAGACTAGTCTTCTATTAAAGGGCAGGAAACACCAACCCACCCACAAAAAATTCTACCCAGAATTTACCCTGCCTATGAGATGTGCAGGGATAAAGATAGAACAGATAGAGCAGAGATTGAGGGAATGTCCAACCGATGCCTGACCCAACCAAAGACCCACCCTATCAAGAGTGTCGTCCCCTGACACTATGAAGGATATTCTGCTAAGCTTACAGACAAGAGCGTGTCAGAGTTACTCTCTTAAAGACTCTACCCAGCAGCTTCAAAATAGATTGTGAGACTCACAGCCAGATGTTGTTGGTCGAGGCATAGTAAGTTTTGGAGAATAGTGGAAAGAAAAAGAAAAGGACCCAGAAGTGACAGGCAGGAGCTCCACAAGAAAAACAACAGACCCAACTAAGCAGCTCCCAGAGAGGTCTGCTTGAAGCATAAACTAAGGACCTACGCCCCTTACAAAGATGTAAGCAGATGGGCAGGTTAGGCTTCAAGTGGGTCCTCTACTAAGGAAAGTGGGGGCTGCATCAGACAGGGACTCACTTGCAGGTTTTAGATCACTTTCCCCTGGCAAGACTGGTTTGATGGGCCACAGGGGAAAAGGACATGTTCAGTCCTGATGCAACTTGATGAGCTGGGGTGCATGGGAGCTCCCCTTTTCTGAGGAAAAAAGTAGATGGGAATGGGGAGGGAGAGAGTAGAACTGGGAGGGACGGAGGGAAAGGTCTGCAAGGATGTAAAGTGAATAAAATACATGAGAAAAAAACAAGTAACTACTATTGCTCTTTCAGTAGCACAGGCTAACCTGCTTAGATGGAGGTGGATACTTCTTGTCTCTCCCCTCATATGGCTACTGGTTCCCTAGCTCCCATACTCAGCTCTTAGTCCTCTCCCCATCCTTCCTTCCATCGATCTGATTGGTGAGTTTCAAAGAAATTTAGCAATCAGAGCCTGACACCTTCTCCCTGCCCTCAGCCATGAGCCTGCCTTTGGTGTTTCCCTCCGCTAATTCTTTTTTATTTTATTTCTTTTCACAATTTATTCATTATATATTCCAATTGAAGCCCCCTCCATCAACTTCCCCAGTCCTAACCTCCCTCCCTCTTCCCCTCATCCCCTTACCCTAGACCACTGAAAGGGGGAGTTCTCCACCATTGCCATCTGCTCATAGCTTGTTAAGTCTCATCAGGACTGCCTAGAACCTTTTTCTTAATGGCCTGGCAAGGCAGCATCATCAAGGGCGAGTGATCACACAGGAGTCAGCTGAGTTCATGATAGAGGCAGCCCCTGATCACCTCACTCAGAGATCCACATAGAGACTGAGCTGCCAATTGGCCACATCTGAGCATTCAGTGTTGCCTATCACTAGGCCATCATGCCTGGTTCATTCCACATACTATCTCTAGAACACCCATTTGCCTGCCAGATGCACCATAGTCTTTTTTAACAAACTTACTGGAGACAAAGCTGATATTTTGCTTCTACTATTCCTTATTCTTTTGTCTCACTTCTCAGTTGTTTTAACTAAAGGAAAAGAGATTGATACATTTTAAGTCTGTAAACTAGTCTTCTCTTGTGGGTAAATATACAAATTTGTAAACTTTTTAGAATAAAGTACTTGTTTTTTGCTTTGTTCATTGGGTATTTTCTTTTAGGTGAGTACAAGCTCTCATATCTCAAAATAGAATGGGCTTCGAGGTCTAAAAGATAAGGCTTCACTCTGCCTCATCTGCCCTACCCAATTTCCTGCTCTGCTCTTTTGTTTTATAACAGGCTTAGGGCAAAGCAGATCCAGCTTTGTGCAGACACACAAGTTTAAGGCAAATAAATACAATCAGTCAACAATGGCCAAGGGTTGAGATATCTATAAAGTAATACTACATAATTAGGACAACGGTAGAACCACATTTAGGAGAAAAACACTGCACACAGATGATGTTTCTCATCTGGAGATAAAGGTGTTTATGAAGCTGCAACAGCCGAACTCTGTGGCAGGGTGACTGTTGCTTCGATAAGAAACCCTGACAAGCAGCTGATGTGAGAAAAGACTTATTCCCATTACGGTTCTAGAAGGGGCACAGTGTGCCAGGGAGTCATCCAGAGGAGCATGAGGCCAGCCTGTCATACTGCATTGGTGATCTGGAAGCTGAGAGAAAGAGTGTGGCGGGGAGAACAGGGAGTGGGACCAGGTTATAAAACTGGGAAGCACACCACAGTGATGTACTCTCTTCACTCCTGAAGATTCCATGCCTTTGTTGACAGTATCACCAGCTTGGGATTACGTGTTCAAATAGAAAAGCCTATGGGGACATTTTATACTCAAAGCATAACACGGAGTATATTTAAATAAAGCAAAATGTTTTCTCCAAAATTTGGTATATTCTTTAAGTGTATGTTAAAATAATTCCTTCTGTCCTGGTGGACTGAGAGATTATGTACCTTGGTCCCAAAGTAGAGATAACCAACTTCTCAGGAATCATTTAATTTTAAGTCCTCTTATCTCTCAGTTGAAAATGTCAGCAACTTCCCCAGTGGCCTCCAACTGTTCTGTGGTATTCTAGTTGCTCATCCTCGTGGTTGTGGTGTTGATTTGTTATTACTCACAGCTCTCCCCCTGTATCCTGCTCTTAAACTTTTAGTGGCTGCCTGTAGCCTGCTTCAGAAGAGAGCTCTCAGTGAGTCTGTTATGGTCGGGAAATAACCTGTGTTTATGTAGCCTCAGTCCCATTACGTTGTTCAGTTTTTATTAGTAATTGGTTAAATACAAACCAGAAAGCTAGAAAAGGCTTAACAGAAATTCTAACAGCTTATACATATGCAAGCTTTTTCTTTTTTTTAAGGCCATTCCATTCTTTTGCCTCTTATCACTTACTTGTGTTCTCACATACTTGGGGCGGTTCTTTATTTGTACCCAGCCACCATTTTTAGCTACTTGGTATCCATCAGACACTAGTCAGTGTATAAAAAGCAAAGGTGGTACTCAGTCCTGTTAGCCATGAGGAAACAGCTCTCAGTACTTTTTTCCTTTACCTCCTTTTGTCTTTTAGGGACCTGTCTTTACTGTTTCGTTTTCGAAGGACGGAGAGCTGTTTGCATCAGGCGGTGCAGATACGCAGGTCTGTACATCTTTGATTTATGGACAGACCTTATGCCCTTACTAGCTGGTTTGTGTCTGTTGAGATGATCGTCAGTGGGTTTTTAGGTTAAGTTGGTGACAGGTTTGCTGTCACATAACTGAAATAGATCTAGTTGAACAGGCACAAGAATTCTACAGGTATTTTCTCTTGGTATAGTTATCGTAAATAATACATTTAGTAGACATTTACTGCGTGCCCAGTTTCAACGTTCTTTCACCTGACTTACTGCCTAAGATTTTGCTGTACGTCTTGTTTCTTCAAATATTGAACCTCCTGAGGATATAAATCTAGGTCATTGCTGCAGCAAATGTATATATACAAGAGATGACCAAAAATTATTCATAGCCAGATTAGTAAATAAAATCAATGGGCAAGTCAAAAACATGGTGTGGGGTTTTTGGTGAGGGGCAGGGAGAAATGTTTTGAGTTTATAAAATATTGCCTACCTAAGAATTTTGTTTGGTTTAGTTTAGTTTGGGTTTGAGGGCAGTATTTTTAAGACAGGGTCTCACTGTGTATCACTGACTGGCCTAGAACTCACTATGTAGACCAGGCTGGCTTCAAACCTACAATGATCCACCTGCCTCTGCCTCCCAGCTGCATGTCTGCCTCATCCAGCTCAACATAGGGATTTTAAGTTGGGCACAAAGGCAATTCAGATGCTAACTCTCCTCCCTGCCTGAAATAATAAAGAGCAGTGACAGGCATGCGTATCTCTACGCACAGCTGTTCTGACTGTTCAGGGCAGTTCTGCCTCTTTGACTTTTTAAAATCAGCTCTGTTATTTATATGCGAGTCAGTAAGTACTAATGCCATTGACTCTCTGTAGGTCTTGCTGTGGAAAACTAACTTCACGCAGTTACACTGTAAAGATCCTAGAAGAAACCTGAAAAGGTTGCACTTTGAGTCCTCGCCACACCTTCTTGACATCTACCCACGGTCGCCACACGCCCACCAAGATGACAAGGGCACTGTTGAAGTGAGTATGCTGTGCGCATGATCCTACACTTCGTGGTCACTGCAGGGCTGTTAGTGAACCAGCTCCTTAAAATTAGACTGAGGTATGCAAGACTTAGTCCTGCCCCCAGATAGCAACACTCTGAGGAAGTCTGTTGTTTCCACTAATAAAATAAAAGCATGGGTGTACGGTAGTGTGTGATAAGGTCAACAGCTCTTAGGTTCACTTTTTGAAGGCTCAGAAATAAAGCTAAAAATTGTGTTGACAGCAATAAAAATGGGAAATCAAATCTAAGGCTGCAGAGTCTTAACTTGTTTCCTAACCAGTCACTTTTAAGAAGGTTGTCTGATGAGCATCATGAGACTAGGATTAAAAGGCAATTATAACAGCATTTTTATAACAGCAATTGAAGCAGCCAAACAAACAAAACCACCTATGAACATTTAAAGAAAATATTTATCACTAAATATAATAATTGAGACCATTTTAGTGCTTACATGCACACAGACTCGCATGCGCGTGCGCGCGCACACACACACACACACACATATTTACCTTTACAAGCCTGCAATAAAGACACTTGCCACACTAAGCCTGACATGGTCTAACTTCAATCCACAGATGCCACATGGTGGAAAGAGAACCTAACTACCACAAGTTGTCCTCTGGCTTACACAGACACACACACACACACACACACACACACACACATACTTACTTCCTAAGTGAAAATAGCTTTCTGGGAGTGGTTCATTGGATTCTCACTTTATGTACTATATTGGCCTTGAACTCAAGAGCAATCCTCCTGCTTCAGTGTCCCAAGTACCAGGATTACAGGCATGAGCCACTGTTGGAGTCTTATCAGTTTAACAGAAAGCATTTGTTGAAATCAATTTAAGTTTTTTCCCTTCAAAGAAAAATTTATTTTGCTGAGTCATTACCTCATGTTAGGCTCTGAGTCTGTCTTGTATGATTCTATTTTTAAGTCTGTTTCTGTCCCAAGAGCTAACACCAGAAATCACTGTTTTCCTGCGCATTTGAGTTTGCTCTTCTTTCATTACAGACTTTGGGTTTTAGAGTATTTATTTTGCTTTCTTGTGTTTTCTTGTTTTGGTTTCTGAGCCCTTAGCTTAGACTGGCCTTGAACTGTAGTGGAGGATAACCTTGAACTCTTAATCTGCCTGTTGCTGCTTCCCAAGTGCTCAGGTCACAGGCTTCTGCATCCAGCACACACTGCTGAGACTTAATTTGCACAGTAGCCTGAGACACTCCAACCCACTTTCTATTTTCCACTCAATCACTTTCTTAGCTTTGTTTTCATCACTCTTGGTTTTTCTTGGGCCTTCTTGTTGCTCTCATTTGAAGTATACATACCCTAAGCTCTGGTAGTTTTGCTTTCTTTGCTGGTTTTGAAATAGGGGTCTCAGCACTATCTCAGACTGGCCTTGAATTCCTGATCCCCAAGTGCTGGGACTTATACATGTTCTTCATACCTAGGAGATTGTTTCTTAAATTTTGTCTAATTCATCCATATTTGGGAATTTCTGGTGTTATTTCTTATTGACAGTATTAATTTTTAATTCTTGTCTGTAATTTTTATCCTTTTGGATAGTCACCTGAACATTAAACCGCTATGCTTTATTAAATGTTTTTACTATGCCATCATTTTGTGCCTGCCTGCCTGCCTGTGTGCATTTGATGCTGGGGCTCCAACAAGGACTCATACATGCTACGGGAGATCTACCACAGAGCTTAGCCCTCATTTTTCCTTTTGTTCTTTGAACAAAAGAATACATATTTTTAAAAATAATGATTTATTCTTATTTCATGTGTATGGGTGTTTTGCCTGCATGACTGTGCACTATGTGCATTCAGTGCCCGCAGAGGCCAAAAGAGGGCAGCAGATCCCTTGGAACTGGAGTGACAGATGATTGGGAGTGCTCTGTGGATGCTGGAAATCAAACCTAGGTACTCTGGAGAAGCAGCCTGCTTTTAACCACTGAGTCATCTCTCCAGTCCAAGAATGTAATTTTTTCCTCAGTTGTTAGTTATTAAATGTATTTGTTGGCTTCTTATGTTCATATACTCATACAAAATAAGTGTGTGTATGTGTGTGTGTGTGTGTGTGTGTGTGTGTGTGTGTGTGTGTGTGTGTGTTTCTTAAGTGTCCTTTTCTTGTGTTACAAAAGCTGTTTTTTCGGTCCTTGGTGGCTTTTACCTGGACTTTATTTCTACGACTTGTCTGGGCGTGGTCAGAGTGAAGAAGTCCCTGGCCCTGTCACTTACATGGCACTCAGCCAGGTGACATGTAATAAAGCTACAGGTTTCCAGCTGAGTGGTCTTTCCTTGACATTGTGCTGTCAAGCCATCTGCTCTGGGATTTACTATCAGTTCCAGTCATTTTAGAGAGCTAGACTTCACAGTGTCAACAAGTTGACTGAGTCGCTTGCTCTGACTCTTCCGTTGAGAGCCCTGAAACCAGCCAGGCTTCTTTGTGTGGTGCAGCGGTCAGGATGACCCAGGCTGTGTGAAGACACTCCTGGCTGAACTTTTCTCATGTGCACTTATTTCTATCAAAAGCTGCCTTTTCATTATGAAATGAGGGGACAGTTGCACTGTGTGTAATGCAGAGAACAAGCCTGAACATTTTGTATGGCCCCAAGGAAGTTGGCCTTGGGTATGCTGTTTAAATCACCTGGAGGTACTCATGTGACTGACTTTTTTAAAACACCTCCAGATGCTGTGCCAGAGAAGTAAAAGGATTCTTTGTATAAACAGCCAATCACCTAATTTTAAAAATAAGCTCACAATAAAGCAAAATATGATGTTTTTTTTGTACAAAGCTTATTTTTAGCATTATAAAAATCATTGGATATCAAGTTATATTTAAATTTTTCAAGTTAATGAATATATATATCCCTTGCAGAAAGAAAAAAAAAACTGCTTAATTTAAAATTAAAACCTTAGATCAGGAGAGAAATACTGTGCCCACTTATGATAAATTATGCTTAAAAATACTTAATTCTGTGGGTTAAGTTTTCTGTCAAACTGAAGCATCAACCAAGGACCGTGTATGAACTGGACCGAGGCTCGCTACAAAGATGTAGCAGATGGCATCTGAGGATTCGTGCAGGTTCTCTAGTAAGGGAAGTGGGGACTGCATTGGACAAGGACTCACTTGCCAGCTTTTCAGTCACTGTCCCCTGGCAGGACTGCCTTGCCAGGCCACAGGGGAAGAGGACAAGCTCAGTCCTGATGCAGCTTGATGAGCTGGGGTGGATGGGAAAGGGAGCTCCCCTTCTCTGAGGAATAGGTGATGGGGGGAGAAAGGAGAGTGGGACAGGGAGGGGAGAAGGGATGGGGCTACCACCGGGTGTAAAGTGGATAAAAAACAAATTAATTAATTTTAAAAAATTGAAAAAAGTTTTCTGTCAAAGCTTTAGAAAAGTACACTTATATTATTTCAAAAATAATTTTAAAATGAAAACATTCTGTGTTCAGAATTTAATGAAAATTTAAAAAATTATTTTTTTTATCATAGTATTGAAGTAACTTCTCTTCTTTTTAGTAGTCATGAGTGTTTTATTTTTGGGTTTTGAGCAGTATAGATTCCCTATGCTTTATATATTGCTATGTTTTCTTTTTTTAACTACTTAATTTATTTTACATACCAATAAAACTTCCCTCCCTGCTGGCCTCCTGTTCTCCCTTTCTCCACAGAAAAGGGCAAGCCTTCCATGGGTATCAGCCTGTCTTGGTATATCAAGTTGTAGTAGGACTAGGTGCATCTTCTGCTATTGTGGCTGGGCAAGGCAGCCCAGTTAGGGAAAAGAGATCCCAAAGAGGGCAACAGAGTCAGAGACAGCTTCTGCTGCTGCTGTTAGGAGTCCTACATGAAGACCAAGCTGCACCACTGTTCCATATGTGCAGAGAGCCTAGGTCTGTCCCATGTATGCTTGGTTTGGTGGTTCAGTCTCTGTGAGCTCCTATTGGCCCATGTTAGTTGGTTCTGTATGTTTTCTTGTAGTGTCCTTGACCTTAGTTTCTGCTCCATCTTTACCCCTGCATAATCATGTTGGCAGGACAAATTGTGGGTCTAATGTTTTCCGTCCACTGGAAGTCTTTTCTGGTTATAGAAGATGGCTGGTTCAGGCTCCATATTGCCTGTTGCTAGGAGATTTAGCTAGGGTTACCCTCATAGGTTCCTGAGAGTTTCCATTTTCCTAGGTCTCTAGCTTGTCCCAGAGATGCCCGCCCCACTAGTTCTTTCTATCTTAGTACTCTCTCCCTCAGTCCTCCTCCCCTTGATCCCTCCTGCTCCCATCCCCAAGCCCTCCCTCAGCAGGTTCCCTCCATCCATCAACCCCCTCAATATCTATCCTCTTTTCCCTTCTTAGTGAGATCCTTTCTGGGCCTTCCTTGAGCTTCTTTGGGTCTGTGGATTGTAGCATAGTTATCCTGTACTTTCTAACTGCTGTCCACTTATAAGTGATTATGTACCATGTTCACCTTTCTAGGTCTGAAAGATAAACATGCTATGTACTTACTATGTTTTCTTAACCTTCTGCATAAAATTGTTTGGCCCTTGCAAAGCCCACTGGCTTGCCAGCCTAAAGTGCTTTATTTGTTTGAAGGTAAGGAACCCTGCAGGAGCTCAGATCTCTGCTCTCTCTGCTAGATGTATGAATTGCTAATCCTTACATAGACAGAAGGGTGACAGCCAAACTGCTTGAGCATCCACCAGAGGACACTGCGTGAAAGACCTCATGGAGTACAGAAGCCTCCCTGTGTCTCACCTGGTCTACTGACAGACATGGAGCTGAACCCCCATCCTGATTAAAATTAAGCATGAGAACAGTGTCTTTCCATGTTTTTGGGACCCAGTTTTTACATGAGTGTCTTCATACTTCATAGAAGCCTATATACTTTAGTAGTAGTATTTCATGTCAACCGTGTCTCCCTGCCATAAGAGAACTATACTGTATTGTCCCAGAAAAAAAACAAACAAACAACTTTCCTTTCAAAGTGTATTCATGATAGTACATTTGCATGGCACTGTCTATTCCTCTTTTGCATATTTAATGAGAAAACCAGAAAGCCTTCTTAAGGGATGATGATAATCTTTGTGAGACTAGGGTCTCACAGTTATTCTAGACTTAGACAGAATATTAGAAGGGAACGCACTTACATCAAAATTATTAATAAAATAAACATCTTGTTTGCTTTCAACTGCCAAATGGCCACTTGAATATCACATAATATATAAATTGCATATGAAATTCTATATATTAGCTAGCAGGACAGAACAGTCCTTTCATTTAAGTAAATATTTTATAATGGCCTGACCATGATTCATTGTTGAAAATTCTGTTGTAGTCATATAAATCTTCAAATCTTAGATCAGGTTTTTACCTTAATCTGCTAATAAGGTTAAAAACATTACCACTGAGGGCAAAAATATAATTGCCTGACTACCAATTCTGTATTTTAATTCTAGCTGAAGTATACGCTTAAACTGTTTTGGCCTCAGTAAATGTCCTAAGGCATGTATATGATAATAATAGTAATAAGAATACATAATGCCTATACAATATTTTTCCATGTCTTTACATGAATTATTTAATAGTGCTACAAACATTGAAAATCAGTAATGTTTTTATCTACATGAGAATTGGAGTGATTTGGAGCTGAAGCTAGTAGCTAACAGCCCTGTAGCTGCAACCCTGGCCCTCTGTCTCGTTGTACACCCTTTCCCATCTGTTGCAGAGCTTCAGCTTCGTAGAAGTTACAGTCTGGCCCAGCGATCAGACACTGATGTGTCTACACTGGAGGTCGAAGCTGTAAGGGCTCGTTCCTAGCTCTTCAGAAACTTGTAGTCTAGGGAAACATTACAGACTGTGCTAGTGCGGGTATTGATGTTCTTGAACTTCTCGGTAGACCCTCAGGTCAGTGTGAGGGTTCTTGAAGGTTCTATACAACCTTCTCATTCATAAAAATCCAGTTGTCAACCCCCGTTGGGCTGCTGAGAACCCAGACTCTGAGTCCCACTCCATTTCAAGACAGCATGATGTATGTGCAGCAATTGTGCTACAGTGTAGTAAAATACTGTCAGTTACATAGAGTCCAAACTTGTCTGAAATCAAAGACTTTTCACAGGAGACACCGATTTTTTTGTAGTCTGTGGCTTAAACTTTCCGAGCAGTTTCTATTTCAGAGGAAGAAAACCAAGTGGTGGCCATTTTAATATCTACACTAGGTGGCAGTAGAGAAAAGAGTAAAATGTCTCTCTGACCAGCTCAGCTCAGACTAAAAGGAATTAAGTCAGCCCAGATGTCTCCTCCTCACAGAGATGGATGAGGACATGTTTGTTTTCTACTAGAAAACAGCTGGAAGGAAGAAGAGGTGTTGGACAACTGGGCCAGTGTCCTCCATCCTTCTCAAAAACAAGTTTACCCCTCTTCAATGTGTTGGTACACCTCTACTTTAACACAGTGAGCCGGAGCATTATAAGATGAGGTTAGCATTTCTAAACCACAGCTGGAGGACAGAGCATGGTGACACACATGCCTGGAAGTACAATGCTTGGGAGGCAAAGGAAAAAGGAACAGGAGTTTAAGGCCAGCTTGTGGTACGATAGGTCCCCAAAACAAAACCAGGCCAGCAGGTATAAAGCAGGCTCAGCAGGTTAAGGCATTTGCAGCCCACCTGTCAGCTGAGTCTAATCCCTACGATTCACATGGTGGATGGAAAAGAAAAACAAATCTCACAAGTTGACCTTAAACCTTCACACATGTACAATGGTGCACTCACATACATAAGCATGCATGCGCTCTCACACAGAGAGATATAAATAAAGTGTAGTAATTATAACTTCAGCTGTGCCCATCAAGCCTGACTGCTTTAAAGGTCAGTTGTTTGCCAGGGGTTCAGCCCACTAAGACGTTAGTACTGTCCCCCGTCTCCCTAATAGGTCTCTCTAAAGCACTTTAGACTCCAGCCTCATGGTTTCCCCAAATTTCTTTGAGTTGGCCTTTTCCCACTCCGTCGTGTGTCTCTTTTTTCCTGCCTCTGCGCATTTGTTCATTTGCACCATGCCTATGCTCTGCCAGGGCACAGGGGCAGCTCTTTGTCTCACCCTGATCTCTGACTAGTTTTTTAACATTTTCTTTCTTTTGTTTGTTTCCATTTTTGTGTTGAGAAGCTGTATTAAACTGTGTTTCCTTCCTAAGTATCCTTTGTCACTGAGCAATGTGCTAGAAGTTTTTTCTGGGGCCCTAAACAGAGTGCTGGACCACTGGTATGCTATAAAGTCCTGTCATCCTGTTGTCCGTGGCTAACTTCTTCAAGGGCGATTGGATTTTATTTGGTTTGTTTTGGGGCCTTTGAAATAACTCTCCTCAGAGGCAGTCATCAATACAGAAAATCATTCCCTCTTTTCTGTAATTTTCATACATATGTGTTTTCAGATCTATAATTAAATATTGTTTACTTTTGAATGGTCAGAAACATAATTTTGTAAATGGGGATATATTGAGTATGTTTTTCTGCAATTTGCCTTTTTATTCATATAAAAAGCCTTGAGATGTGTGGATATAACATGAATTGACACACTTACATGTCGTACAGAGCTGTGTGCTGCTCATCTTTACAGCCATGTTGTGTTTCAGTGACGTTACCTTACAGGCAGTCCCCACAGTAGCGCTCACAGTCCATGCTGCTTCAAAGCGCTGTGTGCGCTGCTGGCAGTGTAGAACACTCTAGTTTCCAAAATGGCGTTTCTTTTAACTGTCACTTTTGTTGTGAATAATGCTGCTGGGCACCTTTATAATGAGTTGATGCAGATAAACTCATCAGCCTGTAGGTTTTAATTCCTGTAGATTTTTTTTTCTCCCATGGAGATTTGTTTTCTATATTTCCATGTATAAGCTTTTTGTATAGCTTTTAGATATTTGCCCCTTTTATATTAGACATCATCATATCTCCTGTTCCATTGTTTTCCCCTTGCCTTATTGTTTTGCTTTTTCCGTTTCTCAGATGTCATTCTCCATCCTGGTTATAATAAAGATATTACTTGTTTGTTCCTATTGGTTTTATAGTTTGATCATCACATTTCGGGTTCTACTTATTTCCTGCCTACCCTGCCTAGCAGGGATCCATGGACCTAGCCAATTTTTAGAATTGTCAGTCTTCCTTCTCTATTAACTAATGTTGCCATTGAGTCTGACTATGCTTCTTTCCCACCTATAGCGTATCTTGCATCCGATCTAGCTGTGGTATAGCTTTCTGTTTACTTGTTCCTTTTTTTAATGACAATGAAGTCTTAGTTTTTCCCATAAATATTTGGGGAATTTTCTTCATCTTCATGGTATTACCGTCCATATTTTAACTTCATGTTGAAATGCATTTGGGTTTGTGTGTTGAGTGGGTATAGTAGTGCGCTTCAGTTCTCTTAGTGGCGCTGAGGACCCAGTGGTACATTCTGTTTGCTTCTCCGTCAGCCATCACTGCATTTTGAAAAAAAATTTATTACTTTCTGATTCTTACATCTTAACATTCTATTTTTTTTTCTTGTTTTAATGTACTGGCTAGGATTTTTTCTGCATCCCTTGAGGTGGGTCTTTCTACTTTCTATTCCTCTGTAGATGAATTGTCAGTTTCATGTACGTTGGTAGGTTTAGTGAATTCATATTTTGCCAGTACTTGTGTGTTTATCAATGAGTATATGCTTTGTCTTAGAATATATTATGAACGCTCTACAGTTTGTTTTTTTTTTTACAAATAGTACATGGTTTCTTATGATAGAAGGTGTCACATTAACGTATTATATATGTGTACACAGATTAATCCAAAACTTGAAGTAATGGATCTGCAGAGTTCTTCTCCCCCTGTTGTAGATGTCATTTCGTTTGATTCAACCACAGTAAGTTTTCTTTTCTCTAACTAAATCAGTGTTAAATTATTTATTACAGTTATTTCCTTCAAAAGTATGTGGGACAGGGATAAAATGTCAGCTGAGAAACCTATCATTTCATCATAGCAGGCCTTTATATAGAAGTCGTTTATAAGCTTCTAAACAGCCACCAGAGGGAGCAGCAACCATTTGCAGAACAGCTTTTCCTTTAAAGACCTTAAAGTCAGTCTAATTTACCCTCTGTCTCCCTGCTCCTTGTTCCCCTGCCGCCCCTGCTCCCTGCTCCTTGTTTCCCTGCCGCCCCTGCCTTACACTGCTGTCCCAGAGTAGACTCCCTGCCTTGTTGCCTTTAGAAGCTCTAAGGACAGCAGTTCCTTTCCCCCCTCCACCCCTATTTTTTGTTAATCTCTTGATGGATCGTCCAGAAATAAAGTATCACTATTACTTGTAATTTTGTTTATAAAAAGTATCTGTATATTCTGCATTCTGAATGTAGGCTTCAGAAATAGCTTGAGCTATATCCTGAGTCTGTTTGCTCTTCTAAACAAATCACAGGTAACCCTGCTGATTAGCACAAGCCTTGCTATGAGAACAGGAAGAACAGTGTTGCTTTTGACAATACTGCTGCTAAGCTGTCCATTTAGTCCAGTATTGTGGGTGAAATTTTAAAGAACCACAGCCTGACGTAGAGTCGAGTAGATTCCAAAAATAGTGTCTCTGCAGATGAGTTCCGCCTGTACCAGGAAGTACTCGAGTTTCGAAGTGCCCTCTCAGCACTAATGTTGGGCAGAGGACATTCTTCTCACAAGAAGGTGCAGTAACAAGAACCACATGGTAGCAGCCAGGTGCTCCTTATCAAAGGGGAGGTCAGGGCTTACTGGGGAAGCTGGTCTGTGCACTTAGCATGCTCACGTACATAGCCCCATCAGCATTTCTGCATGAATGAATGACTTGTTAAGTCAAACATTAGCTAGCTTTCTTAAACTTGCCACATGCTTTTTCCATAGTCTTCAACAAATTTGACATAACACATGCCATTGACCTTACGTAGTCCAGTGAGTTGTTTTATACTGTAGGTAGGTAGCTTATGACATGGGCCTTCTCCTTATGACAAATTCAGCAGACTAAAATTTACTATTCTTGACCTAGAAACTATCTCTGATCATTAAACCTTTTTGTTCGACTTTTTGAGCTCCAGTCTTTCTGCCAGTGCCCTTTAAGCATTGCAAAAACTCAGGACTTGGAGACTCTAAGCATACTCATGGTTTGCTGCAATGTGGGCCAGTCCCCAACTAGGACAGAAGAGTGCTTATCCCAGAGTAACCAGAATCAGCTAGTTTACATGGTATCTGTGGGTACCAAACATGACAAGTTTGACAGTTGTTATGAAACATGAGTAAAACTGAATAGAGTAGTTATCTACAAAGATGGAGCACTAGCTGAACTGTGTGAAACAAAGCCAGTCTAACATTGGTGACTACACTTCACATGAAAGATTCCAGGGAATTGGTTTTAAAAATAGTGATGCCAGACACTGTAGCACATCTCTCTCATCTTAGAATTTGGGAGTCAGAGGAAAGAGGGTTTGAGTTTGAGGCCACCATGAGTTATACAGTAAGACTCTATGCCAAAAGACTAAGGGCTGGGGTTATATGTCCATAGTAACTTACCTAGTACATGAAAGGCACACTAAAGTGAGACTTAGCTTTCCTCTAGTATCTTACTATTGAGAAGAAATTAAGGCATGCGGTATAACAGTTGGTATTTGTGGCTTGCACTTCTGTCTCTAACGCCTGGCAGAAATTTTGATATAATATTTGGGAGTCAAAATCAGTTGTTACCAATCTGTATATTTAAAGTTTGGTTGTACCCTTCCCCAAATGTTTCTCTGCAAAAGGTTGGTATTGGCAATTATATAGACATGGTTTTTAAATGTTTATCTTCTCAAATGCCTTAATCTTTATTTTGATTATATCAAGTCACTTACTATGTAGTTTTCTGGCTTTTTTTTAAAGAGCCTTTTCTTCAGGATTTTGGTTTGAGTCAGTATCTTCATAGAACTAGAACAAGGTTCTGCCATTAAATTTTGAATTAGGGATGTCTGGGATTTAGTTCAGTACTTGAAGTTTGGCTGCCATGTTTGAACCCCTGCTTCCATCCCTAATATGGGGAACAACTGTACATAAGATAAGCATTTAGCACTTACTGTCTATGACATGGCTACACAGGGTAGGGTGCCAGATCCTCTTTGCTACTCTTCTCAAATAGGAGTAAAATAGAAGTTTGTTGGGACTGAAGAGATGGCACCATCTGCAAAGTACATGCCATGTGAACAGGAGAATCTGAGCTCCCCAAATCAATGAAGCTGGGCCTGGTGGTGAGAGCCAGTAACCCTGCCGCTGAGGAGAGCCTGGCCAGATGGTCCAGCCTACTTAGCAAGTTCCAGGCCCTTCAGAGACCGAGTCTCAAAAGACAGAGTGGATAGCCTCCAAGAATGACACCTGAACATGACCTCTGGTTTCCACATTTACCTGCACACTTCTGCCTACAGCCAGGCGCGCGCACACACACACACACACACACACACACACACACACACACAAAGAAACTTGTTACTTTCAGGTAAAATATAGTCTTAAGGTTTGGGGGTTGGGGGGGTTGAGACAGGGTTTCTCTGTGTAGCCCTAGCTGTCCTGGAACTTGCTTTGTAGACCAGGCTGGCCTCGAACTCACAGAAAGTCACCTGCTTCTGCCTCCCAAGTGCTGGGATTACAGGCGTGCACCACTCCCGACAGCTTAGTCTGAAGTTTTAATGTATTAGTTTTATTATTTGTCCTACAGGTAGATGAACAGAATGCAGTCAACACTCTCACGTTCTTTTGTCTTCATCTTTATCCTGGCTGCAATGCATAGCATAAATGTAACACCTATGCCTTTCTTTAGAGTTAGGTACAGCATTTCAGATCAAATTAATTATTTATAGTAAACTGAAAAGTTAAAGTTACATTCCCAAAAAAAAAAAAAAAAATCCCCGGATGTGCAGTTCTTTAAACCAGTGGCCAGATGAAGACGGGCTGCCAGGAGAAGTGTGCAAGGTGCTGCCGCGGGGCTGCTCGGCAGCACCCACCCTCAGCGGGCAAAATAAGGTAGCGGTGGAGGGAACAAAACAGGGTTCTTGATGTCAAGTATAGAAATGCTGGCAGAGGCAGTGTTCCAGAAGAGATTATTAGTTGCCTGGAGAGGACAATAGAGGACTTCCAGGAGAAATCTCCCTTTAGACTGAGCAGAGATAGGTAGGATGTTTTACTGGAAATTTCAGGAAAGCAGGACAAGGTTTAATATATTCTTTTAAAATTTTTTGAAAATGTGCACCAAGATAATAAAATGTACTGTAATCTACTTCTGGATATCCATCTCTCCTCCTGCAGCTTGCTCCTCCCCCACCTCCATGTGTGTGTGCATGCACGCATGCACACACTCCCCAATCTGTTCCTCCCTCCCTGTGGTGTGGCTTTACTTCTGGGTGTCCTTGAACTCCACACCTGTAAGTTTTGGTCCTTTACATTGCTTTGCCCAATAGGTGGCAGATGTGACCAAATCCTGGAAGGATGCACACTCATATATATCCATGTCCCCCAGTAAATGTCCAGGAGCTATTCTGTGTTGTTCCCCATTCTTGGCTCTAAAGAATTGAGAAAGAAACAGTAAATTAAAACCTGTCCCAAAAGCTCCATTTTGTATCTTAGGGAAACAGGCAAGTTTCAGATTAAAAACCTAAGTGTATTTGGATAGTGTATCAAAACCCCACAGAAGAAAAGCACTCCAGGCTTTGGACAATGGCAGGAGGCTTCGGGAGTGTGGGCAAGACACCTGTCACATGGCAGGTGCCATCTGAGTAAGGAAGTACTGCTGTGGCAATGGGGTAAAGGACAATAACTAGAGAACTAAGGAAATAACCAGCTTGGGCAGTGGTGGCTTGACACAAGGCAGGAGCAGGGGAGGCACTCGTGGATGGCAGGGTTCTGACGATATCTGAAGGCAGAGCCAAGAGGATTTCCTGACAGATTGGATGTCAGCTGTGGGATTGCCTACCTCCACTCCCAGGGGACAGTAAGGTGTAGCCCTGAATAATCTTAGGGCAGCTGGGAAGATCTTCTGGTTCAGCGTCATTTTGACAAAGAGCCATGGAGAGAAAAACAATTGTGGTTTTCTTGTCTTGGGTTCTAGACACAGGGGAAGGAGATCCTCTGCCTTTCCTGTGACTTTGGGAAGTGCACTGTCTAACGGCACTTAGATTCACATTTCTCAGCAAAGTATATTGGCTTCTTTTTTGCGTCAGCCTATTTGAGAGAAGAGAAAGGTTGCCCGCTTTCATGGACCATATGGTACATACTACCTACAAAATAATGTGGTATGGACACATTCGGACACAGGGCGAGTAGATTTGCCGACAGAATATTTCCTCTGGTGTTGTGACAACGGTACATCCTGGTTACCGGACAACATTGTGTAACCAGCTCAGAGTTATTTCAGTTTCTAACTGCTTATGTAAGCAAAGATTGGGAAGGACTTATTTGAAAGAACACAGTGTCTGAAATCCAAATGTCTCTAAACTAAAACAGAATTTTGACAACTTAAAATGCACGTGCAGGCTAAAGAGTACATTAAGAGTACTGACTCCTCTCTGGAAATTCCGGGTTCAATTTCCAGAACCCACATGGCCACTAGCACCTATCTGTAACTCCAGTTCCAGGGCATCTAACACTGTCTCCTGTACAAACATACACACAGGCTAAAACATCCACACAAATAAATAAATAAATCTTAAAAAAAAAAAAAAAAAAAAAAAAAAAAAAAAAAACAGGCGCACCTGGAAGTCATGGTGGAATAGCCTACTGCCGCCTTTCCCTTTCCCTGGGCTAACTCTCCTGTGTTACTCACAGGCATCTTCTCACTCTGGAGTAGGTCAGGGTCTTTTTAGGGATTTTAAACTCTGCAACAGCTTATCA